AATCAATTTACATGCAAAGATACCCAAAGAATTATTTCCAAAAATAGTGGCAAATTATTCTGAAACAAAGCTTAGTAATTGTTTGATAGGCATTCTTAGTCAGCAAAACTACATGACTATCTTAATACTTAACTATTCACTCAAGTTTTGGCAACACTTCAAAGTGGTGGTTGAACAATTAATATATAAATACTATAGAAATGAATCATTTTGATACATTTCCATTTATTAGAAAGCCTTAAAAACTATTTCTAGAATTATTTTATAGAAACTCTGTAGAACACTGAAGCCCACTTTTATTCATGGGATATGGAATAAAAACCAAAGGATTTAGAAGATGAAGCAAAAAATTCCTCAAGTCATGCTTTAGAGTAATTCATGGCATTATGTATAGCTGACATTTCTCACAGTCACATTTTCATACCATTCTGAGACAACTTAGAATTTTATTTAAAACACTTTTTTTAAAAATTATTTTTAAAAAAATCATAACCATCCTACACATTCCAATAGTCAAAGAACTAGAGCAATGTAACGTTTAGGAAGAAAAAATGCTCACTAATACTCATGCCAGGTGAAGTTTTTTTACAAGTTACTCTTATCCAGGTGAGTTTACCTGTCTAATGAGAAACAGGGTAGCAAGTATGTCATATGAAATCAAAGGCACATACATGGAAACAGAGCTGACCAGCCCCAAAAGGCAATCAGTGCGGGAAGAACTACTAAAAAAATAGTAATTTCTTCCATTCCCATTTCGCATTCTGCAGTGCTTTCTCAGACTCTTCTAATTCCACTTGAAGAGTGAAGATATCTCCCATATGTCATTGTGTCTTCTCTGAGACCCTGAAGTCGTCTCTGTGCCGAACAACTGCCAGAATAACCTCGGGGCTTTTTTCTCTTAAAATCTTTCTTAACTCATCTGTTAAATAACAGCAAAAATATATTAGGTGTGACTTCATCCTTCCAGAGAGAGGTGTTCTCAGGCTCCTAAATATCATCTCTACCATTATGTCAACAGCCCTGAACCAAAGAGCAGTAAGTGATTGTTGCAGACAGAGTTCAGCAGTTCAGCAAGAAGAGAGTTTGCTGAAGAAGGTCTATGGTGTCAGTTAAACAACCCTCAATTTACAATATCTCCCCCTCTATCTCCCTTCTGAAACATTTCCACTTGCAAAAGTGAAACCGTTAAAAAAAAAAAAAGTTTTTAGCCTGATGTGTGTGCTGGGAGGAAAGTGATACCTTTCAAGTAACAAACATTCTATCACACCACCTCAAGAAATTCCTTTAATATCATAGACCTGAAACACTGTGTTTAATGAAAAGGAAGGAATTTTTTTTTTCAGCTAACGCCTTCTAAAAGATTGCATATATAAATTGAAACATGTTTTTTCAAAGAAACAAGTACAGTAAGTTGTAGTGCAATTTCTTTCCTCAGCAGAAAAGTCTGTTAAGAAGAAAACAGACAGTTTACAAACACAAGGCTCTTGTACTAAATATTGTATCTTGGAAGCCATATGAGGATTCACTTGGAAGCAGAATCCAGAGAAGGACTAAATATTTTCACAATATGTTCTTTATTCTGCATGCAGAACAAATAAAATCATTACTAGAGACAAAAATAAGACAAGAATTCTCATGACCTCTGCTAAAAGTTTTCCAAAGTCTGGTCTTCCCACAGCTCTCACACCCTAGTGTCATAGAATAGAATCAGAGAATATCTTGAATTAGAAGGGACCCACAAGAATCATCAAAGTCTCTCTGTTCTTTACAGACACCTGGAGAACTACGATCTGGATAAACTGTTATCTCATGCTGTTAGGAGGAAAGTGAGGCAACATAGCATAATGAAATATAGAAACCAAATTACTACTCTTTGTAGTGACACCACCTCCATGACTAGAAGGGAGCAGGAAGGAAGAAAAATATCACTTAGCTAAGACAGTGAGGGATGACAAATTTAAGAAATATGTTCCATCAGCCTGCCTGCTGATGCCTGCATTTCACAGGTAGAACTGAACTTGACCAAGACTTCTAGAAAAACTTTTCACAGCATTACTGCCTAAAAAGGCTGAGTGCCAGTTTTCATGTCGTGGCACATGTAGGTCATAAAACCTAGGTTTCAACTAGTTTTAAAGCTTTGAACCTAGCTTCAACTAGTTTTAGCATCAAAAGCAGAGCTTTACTCAGTCAAACAAAGTAATAATGTCTAACCCCTTCTCTAATAGTTCCAGCAAAAGTCAGACAACAGAAGCGCTTCAGAATTGATGATAACAATTGTGGAGAGGTTAGAAACATGTTCAGTCTCTGAAACCTTTGCTGAGACCTTGAAGGCCAATGTTTCTCAGAGTCCAAAAACGAGAAGATAACCTACTCTGACCTGTAAACTGCCTTTGAAGTGTCTCAGCATTTCCCATTAATTCTCTCATGAGAAGTTTTGCAAGCAGCAATAGTGAATGTTTTAGCTATGAAATAGTGTAAGGTCATCATGTAGTTTAATCCCACACGCCAACTAAGTATCACATAGCTGCCCTCTGTGTGATACTCTCTCTCACTCCTGCCCCACCCTCAGCAGGACAGGGGAAAAAGAATTGGAAGTGGAAAAGTGATAAAATTTATGATGCAGGTAAGAATTGTTTAATAATAGAAATATAGTGATGATTATAATAATAATAATAATAGCAATAATAATAATAGTTTTATTATTTTTATTATTATTGTCATATACATTTATATATATATGTATATACACACACACTATAATGAAAAGGAAAATTTAAAAAAATAAGAGAAATAAAGACAAGAGAAAGAAAGACAAATGATGCAAATGAAAACAATTGCTCACCACCAGGCAGTGGATGAGAAGCCTGCCTCTGAGCAGTGGACCCACAGACAAAAAAAACCAGCTTTCTCTGCTGGGTATGTTGCCCTATTGTATGGAATATCCCACTGATCAGCTGGGGTCAGCAGACAGTCTGCAGTATGGTCTTCAGTTGCACCTAAATGGAAGTGGCAAAAATCAGTCAAGATGGAAAACTGTTTAGTACAGAGTCTCCACTGCTTTTAGTAATTCTAATAGCAGAAACAGCATTAAATACAGGTATGTACTTGCCTTGTGAGTGTTTTCTCAATATACAATGTATATGGAAGTTTGAAGGCTAGTTCCCAGTTCACCTAAAGAGGTTAGCAGAGGTAAAAGTGTTGAATTACACATCATATTAGTGTGTGAATTCCTGCTGGCTAAATGAATAAATGTGACATTGGCATCTCCAGTATAGGGAGTTTTAAATGTAGACATCGCCCAGTACCTCTAACATTTGCTGATGTCTATTTATCAGTCAATTAATATTGACTGAAAGGCAATCTGTAGAGAATTTATTTAAGACTGTTTCTTCCTTAGTTGCCACTTTGGCCTTTGTTTTCCAGTCTGCCTAATAAGTCACAGAATTCTGATCTTTCCATACCCCTCTCAAAAAATAAGATAATTTAGAAAAAAAATACAAGACAGAGAGCAACATGAGATCTAAATATAGAATTCCTTGTGCAGAAGTATGATTCTGGTTGATTCAAGTCACCAGCCTGGGAAAGGTTTTGGAAGAAGTCAGATGAAGTGACAGTGTCCTACACAATCAAAATAGCACCCAAGGGCCTTCATGGTCTTTCTTGGTAGGATTAGAGCCCCTGTGAGTATTCTAAGTCATATCAGAGGTTTAAATAGCCTTGCACCCCACAGAACAGCCAGCTAATTTCAGAAAATTAAGTGGAAGGTAAGTGTAATATTTCCCAGGACTCTTATCTTGCAGTGATATGCAGCTTACGCACTGAAGTCAGAAGTACAAATTTAACAGCTCTTCAGCTTTCACAGTTGACTCCCAAAGCTCTCTGGTATTTTCTGCAAAGGGTGGACTTCTTCTAACAGGAGGCACAAGGTAAACTGTGTATGGATATTCAGGCAAGTAGCAGACTTTCAGACTGGGTAAAAGAGCACTGTGACAGATTCAAGGAGTAAAAAACTGCTGGATGCAAAAGACACCATCCCTGCCTTGAGAGTTCCTGTGCCACAAGTCACTGGAAACTCACTCACTCATGGCCCAGCTTTGCGAACGAAGATTTGGGAAGGCTCTATCTATATTTGTTACAGGCACACTGGAGGCTAATGAGGCCAATACGAGACAGACACGTCCGGTTGCAAAAGGCACAGCAGAAAGACTCCTTAGGTGGTAAATTCTG